GGCTGTCGCGGCTTTTTGAAAGCATGGGCTACTCGGACATGGCGACGATCTTCCAGACCATCGACGCCGACGCATCCGGTCACGTGACGCTCGCGGAGCTCTTCAAGATCTGCTTTGCCTACGCGACGTCGGCCGAGATCCACGAGATGGTCATGCTCGAGCGCCTCGGCCGCGCGCCGACCGTCTTTGCCGAGGACAAGCCGCTCACGCCCGACCAGATCGCCGAGCTGCGCGAGATCTTTACCGTCTTTGACCGCGATCGTAGCGGCACCGTGTCGTTCGCCGAGGTCCTCGACGCGCTGCAGTACCGACACGACGACGACGACGCGGGTCGCACGCTTGCCGACCTCGCCAAGCTCTACGAGGCCGCCGACAACGACGGCAACAAGGAGCTGAGCTTTGACGAGTTTGTGCAGCTGCTGCAAGAGCTCTACCGCGACAAGCCAAGATAGCATATAATATCGTCATATTGTCGTCAAGGGAGTCTACGAAAGGGGCACGACGTCGATCGGGTGCACCATGAGGCCGTGCGACGGCGCGCATGTAAAGTACGTTTGGCCTTTTAGCGTTCCGTTGTTCTTGCCCAGTGGCTCGTCGAGGACGACGCCGACGAGGTCGCCCTTGGCATAATGCACGGGCCCGACGTACGCAACGTGGCCTTGGAGCTTGCCAAACACAAGGACGCGCTCGTCCAAAGTCAAAACCGGGTACGACGACGGCTTGCATGGCTCGGGCGCTGGTGGTGGCATGCTGGGCGCCGCCGCCGGAGCGGTTGGCACTTTGGAGGTTGCCCGGGCAACGCGCACGGCTCCCTTGCGTCGTGCTATGATGTCATAAGGAATCGCAAACGATGCAAGTTGTGTGTACGTGGCATGCCGACACGTAGCCCACGCTTCTTGCTGCCCCGTGCACTAATTTATTGCCGATAAGATCTGAGCTGGGTGGCAGGAACGATGTGACGCACCGTGGCATCTTCATGTCCATAAAGGCCATGGACTGCATGAAGCTCGCAAGGTCGCCGACTAGTCAAACCATGATGAGATCTAATAACGTATTTCTGCTGCGCTACGGTCGTCAAAGTCGTCGCCCATGCCGTCAAACATGCCGCCGTCCATGCCCATTGAGGCCATGAATTCGAGTTCTTCGTCATCCCTAGCAGCAACCATCGTCAATACCAGCGCAAGAGCCATGGGCGCTATCGCACAGCTCGTTAAGGTCAACGCCGCCAAAGAACATGTCTTCAAAGTTGAACTCGGGCTGGCGTCGCCGGCGGCCGCCCTTCTTTCCTCGGCCCATGCTGCCAAACATCATGTCGAACATGTGAAACATCTCCTCGACGTTGATGTCCATGCCATAGCCGCCATCGCCGTGAAGCTCGTCTTGGTTGGACTTCGGATCCGAAATGCGTTTGTATGCGGCGCTAATGGCCTGGAACTTGGCCGTCGTGTCTTCGCCCTGGTTCTTGTCCGGGTGGAACTTGAGCGCTAGCTTCTTGTAGGCCTGGCGCACGTCGTCCGGCGAGGCCGACGTCTCAAGGCCGAGCGTCCTACGCAGCGTGAGCGGCGCGGGCGCAAGCGCGGCTCTTACCGGTACGCCTCGACGAGCTTCATGGCGGAAATCTGGAAATGGAACCTTGGAATCTTCCATCCCGCGTTGCGATTGGTCAAAAGGTGGCGACGTTCTTGTTCCGTTGATTAGGTAGAATATTGCCGACCATGGCCCTGGATTGGCTGTAATGCTTCTAATTTTCTTCTAAAAGGTACATCCCATGCATCCCATTCGCCATTTTCGTTGCATTTTGGCCAATGAATAGCAAGAACAATGCGCAACCGGCGCACAGCAGGATTCCACGACGATCGGAGCGTCGAATTGTGTTGAAAAATGAAATCGCCCCATCTTGGCACAGGGGTAGCTGGCACTTCCGAAATCACAATTCACCAAGCCGCGTTGCCGTGCGGACAGTACTGCAAGAGTAGCATGGCAAACAGTTAAATGTGGCTTAAGCCATTCGTAGCCACGATTTGCCACATATAGTTACCCTCGACCATTTCCAGGCGTTGGGATCGCCCAACATCGTTGAAAAATTAAATCGCCCTACTTTGGTATAGTGGTAGCCGACACTTTTAAGGACATAATGCGTCATTCCACGTCGTCGTGCGAGTCGTACTGCGTGAGGAACAGGACGAACTGTTAAAAATGGTGCGTGCCATATCTAGCCACTGCTTGCCACATTCAGCCACGCATCACATATTATACTATTTGCGTTAATCCAATATAACACTATATGCCATTTTTACTAACAGTATTTAAAATCCTTCAGTAAAGTTCTTTTTG